CGCAGAGAGCTTATCGAAACCTAAAGCAATTTCAAGATGAAAATGTGGGATACAAGCAGAGTGTCAGAGGGTCCGAACCAGGAACAATTCATCGATCATGCATGATTTGTCGACTAGATTTTCAAGCGAATTTTTGTATTTCAACCGTTTTCACTCGATCATTTGGCGCGATCATCACCGCGACGGGTCACGGATACTAAAGTGGCAACGATCCGGTACTGCACGGTGTCACTCATCCCGCCCAGTCACTTTGCCTTGATAGTGAGGACACACAACCTGGAAAGGTGAACCTGCTCATGTTCCACTTCGTCATCCATCTATTACACTGTTCCAAATGTCTCATATCGGGGCACTCCTGCATTTTTGCAATCCTTCGCGGTCTTCGGCCGAAAATGCAGACGATCCTGCCTGACGAATCGTCACGCTCTCAGACAACCTATGCCTTTGGGGGGGGGGGAGTCCACAGAAGAACCAATCATTCAAGTGGGAAGGCTTACATACCGCAACATAGAAATTGACTCAGCGGAGCACGGCCTACCCTGATCCTTCGGCATCATGCAAGGATACCATTTAATCCACAATTTCAATTTAACATACAGCAGATTACGATAAGTAGGCGAGCACAATTGCGGGAAGCATCTTGACCACGCGAGATCAGATTACTTTTTGGCTGCAGAGAACACACTGCGAAAGTGACAACGTAATTTCGCGAAGCCGAAGTATAGCGCTGAAAATGGTTGCTGAGCGGAGCTCCGAAAAGCCACATCCACCTCTAAAGCGATCGCAGACGGTTCTTGCGTTCGGTAAGACGCCACACAGAAGTCTGACACAGTTTGACTGCGTTGCCAGCAGCGGCACAACTGGAGCATCTCGACTAAAGCTTTGGCATGGTGCCACCAAACGCGTTGCGTGAACTCGTTCATACGTCCGCTTTCTGAGCTGTTACCTGTTCATGAGTGAAAACCAACGGCCAAAAAGGGGTCCCGTTTTGCGTTTTCTTGACGGATTTCTCCGCTTTTTTGCCACTGGCGTACCGTTGAGCACCATCAGGCCCAAAAACGCCTGACCGCATCCTGCAAGGCCCACTAAATGCTCATACAGGAGCTGACCTGGGAGAATCTTCCTCATCTACCTCATCCCCACGACGAAGGATCTTGAGACTACGACTGCTATCCTTCCCTGATTGTCCAATACGCCTCATGGGGTTTTTTTTCAAAAAATTATCAGTTGAGCAAACTCGAGGTTTACCTCCATTATTCGAATCTCTTTGAAGCCTTATTAAGCAGAAATAATTAGGATCAATAGAGAACATAGCACAAGTAGTAAAAAAAATAAATAAACAAGAAAGAAAGCGTAGTATTTTATCCGACAACATATTTTCACATGATCGTTCAACTTCTCAAGGGTGTAACAGCGTCCAGATCTAGTTTGAAGAAACACCTCCCATAACTTCCGGAATTTTCCAAAGACTCCCATTTATGTGATCCTAGGAGGATACGACCGGATTCCGTCGATTCTGGCACTATGGTTGCTCACTACCACAAGTCGGACCCATCTTTGACTGAGCTCCATGATGTTTATAGAGTACTCTCGACTCTTTTTAGCACCAAGCGCATCTGCCCGAACTACGATGATTTCGACCTCGTCATCGTTTTACGAGTGATCGCTCACGTCTACAAACCCCTTATGGGGCTTATCACAAAAATGCCCTCAATAAAAGTCGACCGCAAATATGCTCTTCGCCAGTGATCTCCATTTGAGACCTAGCACGGTGACAATGGTGCTCGCGAACCATTCCTTCCTTTCTTATCCTCATTACAACACTCCTTTGGGCCCCAAACCCTAAGGATAAAATCATCCGTTAGCTCCTTGTTAGGTGCTCTTTTTTAATTGGGTCCGGTTACTGTGCTACTTCCTACACAACCTGCCCACATCATATTGAACTTTCTGCACCTAGTTAATCCATCTCGGAGCTAATCGACGCTTAGGCCTAGGTGAAGATGTAAATATATGCCCCTGATTCACGACCGTTTCTTTGGCCATTACAAGCAGAAGGTGGAGACATCTCAGCAGTGTTTCCACTTCATACCGGTGCCCAACAGAAAGGTTTCGGATGAGTCAATCACGCTTCACGAACCCTCAATTCTTGTCTTTCTTATCACTAGCATTTGAGCGCATAATGAACTGGCCACTTCGAAGCCAGCTTCAACACCTGACTCTTCTGTTGTACAGTGAATATCTGCCACCAATGTGGCCAGAAACGATTCATAGTCCTCACTCGGCCTGTTAGACATGGATATCATCCAGCTCCACGAGTTTGACACCCTGGAGGCGGATTTTACGATAAATTTCTCGCTCATTGTAGATGAAGGTACAGGTGGCCGATGATGCATTTGTAGAAAAAACTAAGGAGAAAAGCTCAAATCCCGCGAGACGGGACCATTGTTTCTCTTCATCTTCTCTGCCTCCTGGACTCCTTCCAGTTACATGCTTGAAAGCGATCTCCGCTCACTTTGATGCATGCTCCGTTAACCAATCGCAAATGACCTACTTTTCTTAGTAAGTAGTGCACATACACAGTCCATTACTGTTTGATGTCGATTTTCTAGCTCGAACTCCAAAACATATAAAGAACCCATGATTTGGATTCATTCCTATTGCATAAAATTCGTTCAATGAGGAGCTCTTTATACTCAGTTGTCCCTCATTTGAATTCCAATCGGGAGGTTCCTGCCTACTGTACTCCATTTACTGGATGTCACCCCTCACTCTGCAATGGGTAGGGAGGGGAGAGGGTTGTGGTGCATTTCATCTGTGCATGCTAACAGAAATCGCATTTCTTTGCAAGAGATGAAGGCAAATCTCCGTGGTGATTTGGCATTCGAATCCTCAGATACCCTCGGTCAAACCAAGCCTCAATTCATTCGATATGTTCTGTCACACAGCACGTCCCACCGCCCGCCGCCCTCTGACAAAAAAAATTCCATTCGAGAGCGATGATATTCCGAAATTTTTAAGCGGCATCGAGAAGTGGTTTTGGGGAAAGGAAACGCAGCCTGATATAACCCGTCAAGACTACTATGGCTATGCGAGTGGTGTTTGTTCTATATTCGCGCAACAAAATTAATGATACCGACAAAGATATGAAGCAACCAAATCTAGTAGTCCTCCCCCCTTCCCATCTTTGAACTAAACGCATTCATTTCAGCTAGTCTGTACAGTGGAAATATGTCGGAAAGTCTGGGCCCATCTTTGGCCATGGAACTTGGCAAGAGGATGAGCGAGGCAGAATAGAACGCTGCTATTCTATTGACCTTTGAGGTAAAATTCCGTGGCTGTTTTATTATCAGAATCAGTAGGGCTCGGCGCTTTGTAATTTTTGTTAACATTCTAGTCCAAGGACCTGTGACGGCCAACAGCAGCTGACGACGATATTTGTAGGAAAGTTATCAATAGGGATGAGAGCACCGTCGCCCAATGTGAGGTGGCGTTTTTGACTCTCACGAAGAGAGATCTTTCAGGATGTGAACCGCTTCGTTGCAAAACTTTTCCGTAAGAATTGTCGGAACTGGATGTTGACTGCTGAACTGTCCCATATTCGTCGCAGTGGCCCGTTGACTAGACCAAAAAGTAGTGGATTTGTTGGAATATGTTTATACATTATTCACGACAAATATAAATATCCGGATATATATAATTTGTGGCTTTATTGGAAGATCGTCGTTTGGAGTCCGCGCTTATCCGGGGATATTTAGGGCTCCTCAGCCGCTCTGTGAGCCTAGCGCTATGAAGTTTGGGGACACTGGATCGCGTTCTTGCGCATCTTTTCAGGCCTTACAGTTGTATATCGACTTTGTCCCGACCGGAGTGATATTCCTTTCCACCCTATATACATAAGAACAAAATCAAATTCCAGCGCGACTCATGGTTCACGTTATGAAATTTCGACGGTCAAGTGCATAACCAACCAACCATCAGATTCCTGTACACTTTTATATTCTTAGGATTGCTTAGCACAAAGTTTTTAGGATCATCGTGTAAAAGGGGAAACATTCACAAGCTTGAATCAATGAGATGTTCAAAGAAAACACATGTATGACGTTCAGAGTTCTGCTCACAGTCGTCGTTTGGTTTCTCAGCTCGCAAGACTTCGAAAGGACTCTCGCCTGTGTGACGTGGTGCTCTGGTCGCCGAGGTAGCTCACTTGACGCCAAAGACCGTTCCAATAGACATGAAATAGGTATTTCAGGGAACACGGATAAGCGCCCATCGAGTCGTACTTGCTGCAAGCACGAGTTATTTTGAAGCCATGTTCACAAACGACGTGGCTGAAAGTCGCTCGGGTAATGTTTCTTCGAGTTTTAGTATATTCCAATGAGTTTCTCCCTTTTTTGCCTCTTGTGAGTGTAGCAAGTCTCTGTATGCTATACGAAGTTATTACGAGAAATGAGATGATTGTGGGAGTCTTCGAAAGTCGCTCGAGTATGTCTCTCTATAAGTTCAAATATGTTCCAATGAAATTCCCCCCTTTATGTGGTCCCTGTGAACGCAGAAGCTCATTAGTTATCGGCTCTTCTCTTGCAGAGGAAACAGAGATGAAGGATGTGAAAGCCGCAGTGCCGCTGGGCCTTGCAGGCACGAAGGAGCGCCTTTGGGTCTTTGCAGCTAACACCTTCAACAATGTTGTGGATTTTATTAGAAGCTTTGCTGATATTAATGCTTATGTGACTGCCAAGACTGAGACTGCGAGAGATGATAAAGGCAAGACTAGAAATTTTATCAACCGTAAGTTCCACTATAATTCAAACAATTGTCTCCTCTCTGTGACTGTTGTGAGTTTGTGCGTTACATTTAGAATTCACTGTTCAAGAAATAGAGATGCCGGTGGTGAACGCCTCAGCGCTTCGAAGCTCTTGTCAATTTTTGCTACTCCGGAAGGATAAAGATAACCAGCAGCAATGTATGGAGTGTTTTGCCCACCGCTTGCTTGCTCCAGCTGAATGAAGTTCAGGTTAGGATTGCGGACTTTTGAAACTCTTTGCCTCGTTCAATTATTGAACAGTAAGAAATATGAAGGTTTCTGTTTTTCTCTTTGCAGGAACAGTGCAGTGAATTTTTGGAGAAACAATTGAATGCTTCGAATTGCTTGAAAATTCGAGCTTTTGCCGACACTTATGCGTGTGAAGAGCTTCTACGCTGTGCTTCCGAGTTTATCCTGCACAACTTCAAGGTTATTCCTTTGTCAATCCTCACTCAAATTGAGAAAATCATATCCTTTCATCTCCTCAGGACGTTATTGGCACTGACGAGTTTTATCGGCTCCCTGGTAACCAATTAGTTGAAGCTGATTTCAAGTGAAGAACTTCAGGTGCCGTCACAAGAACAGGTATTTGCTGAATATTGTGCAGGCTCCTGCTTCCTCCCTGCTGGGGCTCTTTTCTTTGCATACTCATCTATAATTAAGTCCTTTCAGGTTTTCAATGCAGTTGTTGAGTGGGT